GTTATTTGCTTCAAGCTCTTCTTCAATAAGATACGGTGATTCACCTTCTATTTCTGCTGCTCCTACTCCATCTTCCTCTTGGTTATGGCTCGATGGAGGTAGCCATGGGAACCAAACTATCCAAGCAACAGCATGGGGCTTGGTGATTGTGACAGCTACATTAGGAGGCGAAATCAGGACATATCAAAATTTTGGGTTGCCTCGAAAGATCGGCCGCCAAGCGCACCTATTTTGAAGCATGCATGACATATGCTATTTTTGTATTGTTAGTGAAAATAGAATCATAATTTTGGTTTTAAAGCTTATGCTTCAAGCATGATCTGTGCCGGCAGAAATGTTATAGCAGAGCAGAGTTAAAACAATGAAAGACTGTAAATGCCGAACTTGATCATAGCAATCAAAGTGGTTGGTATCAATTAGTTTTATCTTTTTTATCCATATGATTCATATTGAACTTGAAATGTTTCAAACATTTCTTTTATCTTTCACCAGCTGTTCTGTTGTGGGTTTCAGCAAAGGAAAAATAAAAAAACAGGGCATAACTGGTAACAAAACTTGTTGAACAACTTGGAGGTCAAAGATTAAAGCATGAGAGCAAATTAACAAAACTTTTAAAGGCGTGGCTATTTCGCGGTAGCAATGCATGGTGAATTACCTTCTGCTCTTCACAAATAAAATTTTAAAACTAATTATTGGTTGTAACTCTATAATTCCATTGTTCATTGTCAAATTCAAAGTGGGATATTAAGTCTTTTCAATTTTATATTGCACAGTAAAATAATTATTATATTCTTAAATTCAAAATTTCTTAAAGCCGGGTGTTTTAAAATTTTTTATTTTTTAAGCACATTAAAATAACCTAAACATCCTTAAAAATGGATTTTTCTTTAATTTACTCCCGAGGCAATTTTATATTTTCATCCAAGTTTTTTTTTTTGTTATTATTAGATTGGTAAAAAGTAAGTTTTGTAATTTTATAAATATTATTAAAAATAAAAGTATGCATCAATATATAAATAGTGATCGTGCTATTTATATAACACAAGCAAAGTTACCTAACAGCCAAACATCAACTTTAAAAGTGTTCAAATCTTCCTGTATGGTGACTAGAACTCTTATGTGGTATTAATAGCCTTTTTTGGCTTAGTTTTCACGCATAATCTTGCAAATCCTTAAAAAAGTCCTTAAAATTGTTTTTCCTCCGTATTTGAACGCATAATCTTGCAAATCCTTAAAAAAGGCCTTCAAATTATTTTTCCTTAATATTTGATTTTTTTAATTATTATTTATTTTATTTAAAATAATTTATAAAGTAAAATTTATTTTTAATTTTATCATCTTCAATTTTTTTATATATTAGATTTGGTTTCATTCTTTTGATTGATATTTGTTTTATTAGAATTAATTTTATTAATGAATTTTTATTTTGATTTCATCCTCCTTTATTTTTATTTATATCAAATTTAATTCTTATTTTTTTACTATTATTTTTTTTTTACTTTAGAGAATTTATTAAATCAAATTTAATTCTTATTTTTTTACTATTTTTTTTTACTTTAGAGAATTTATTAAAGAAAATTTATGGTTTCATCTTTTAACATTAAATTAGTAATAAATTTAACTTTTTAATTGAGTTCGGATCTATAATTTCATGGGTTATGAGTTTAGAAGATTTGTCTAGATTTGCTTGATTTTTTTTCTTTTTTGTAAACTCATTTTTTTTAGTTTCATTCTTCAATATTTATTTAATTTTTTTTATTTATTTTCATTCTTTAATATTTATTTAATTTTTTTAATTTACTTTCTATATAATTTTTCACTAATTTGAAAAATGACCCTTTTTAATGGACACCTTCTTTTATTATTTATTTATTTAAATAATTTTTTAACCTATATTTAAATTAATATCCATTCTCTTTGATTTTTTTATTTTGTTTATTTTGCATTTTTTTAGATAGCAGTTTTTTTTAATTATTTTATATAAATGAAATTTTTTTTTAAATCTATTTTTGGATAATAATTATAATATGTGTAACCTTGTATAATATTTTTTTTCTTTTGGTTTTATTCAATCATTTTCATATGTTTGTTTATTTTTATTATTATTTAATTAAATAAAAAAATTATTTTGATAAATAAAGTAATTGAACACAACCCAATAAATGTTCTTTATCAATCAAATATCTTAATCTACATTTATCTCTTGATTTTTCAAGTTTTGTCTATAATTATTATTAATGATTTTTTTATTAACATCGATGATTCTCAATTTATTTAATTATATGCATACATAAAATTTTTAATTTATAAATAGAATTTTTATGTAAAAAACCACATTGGAGAAGCTTGCATATTTAATTTTTTTATCACAAAAAAATATTCACCTAGAAACTAAGTGCAAGTCAAATAACCTAGCAATGCCCTTAAAGGTATAAGAAAATTATTGTTTCCCAGTACACTTTATACACATTTATAGGCACTATGGATTCACTATGCCTATGAGTTTTTTTTTCATCTTTCTTTTTCTCTAGTTTGTTTTTAAAAAGTTCATGATTTAAAATCCTAATTAAAGGCTAATTTAGCTAAAATTATTAAGGAATAAAACAAATTAAAAGACAAAAGACTAAAATAAATAACACAGAGGAAATAGGTGTGGGCTTTTCTAGGCTTTGGCACACTAGGCTTTTTTTTATCCACTTTTATTTTTTGAAATTCTATTTATGTTTATTAAAAGATTGAATTGTCCCTTATTTGAACAAATTATAACTAAAAAAACTGTAATGAAAATACAAAAAAGCTCTTGGATGTTAGTGTTTTTTTTTTCACCTTTAAGAGCTATGTAATCATTTTATATGCAATCAAAATATTAAAAGATAAAAAAGCCCCTTAATCCCAATTTTTTTTTAAAGATATTTAAGTCATTTTATTGTGCATCTAAAATGCTAAAGGATTGATTTATGGTGATAACAAATGGATCCTATAAAAAACTCATTTTGCCCTCAATAACTAGTTAAATGATCTTATTTGAAAAGAATAAAAAATTTATTTTATTATTTTAATTCACAATAATATATATCTAGATGTATAATAAAATATTGATCTTTTAGTTTTTTTTTGTAATTAAAATTATTCAAAGTTTTTAATTTTCCTAATTATTTTATTTAGAAAAATATATTTCACATTCTATTGATGTTAACTCAACCTAATAAAAAGATTTATGTACATAAAATTAAAATTAAAAGGCTTGATTTTTTAATGATAATAGTTTTAACTAGTGAATGATGTAATCTCTTTCTAAAAAATCGTTCATCCTTTAAAAAACCAAAAGAAAGCCAATTAGGCCTTTTAGATCTATGCACTGCCTAGACTTATTAGTTTGGTCTGGGCATGTGAGCCCATCATTGCAGGCCCAAGTATGCTTAACTTATTTGTTAAGCAATCCTTGGTCTTTTTTTTAAAAACAAAATCAAATTGTTTTTAAATCAATTTATTTAAAAAATAATCCAATAATATCGTAATTTTCAAGAACATTTTTTATAATAATATTTACAATTAATTTATAAATAATTATATAATAACCTTATATGCATATTTTTTTAAACCTCCTCATTAATATTCAATAAGAATACAATATCTATTTTGTTATATATATATATATTCTTAGATTTATTCTTAAAAGTGTGCAGAAGTGTGTAAAAGTATCGATTCATGCCTTTTTATATTTTTTATTAAAACTTATTTTCATGTTCATAATAAGTTTTTATTTGAAAAAAAAAACACTTCTAATAAAAAAAATGTTTTTTTTCAAAATATAAAAAGAAATTCATGAATAAGGAAATGATGTTTCATAATAAGTTTTTATTTGAAAAAAAAGCACTTCTAATAAAAAAATGTTTTTTTCAAAATATAAAAAGAAATGCATGAATAAGGAAATGATGTTTTTTTATTAAAAATATTATTTTGTTTCTCTCTGATTCAAGTCAATAGAGTTTTAACGAATATGGTTTAAATGCCATTAGTTTTTGTTCAATAAACTATACTGCTAAATGCCATTAGTTTTTGTTCAATAAACCATACTGCATATAAAAAAAATATATATATATCATTGTCAGAACAAAAACAATTACATAAATGAAAGAAGAAAATTTGAATAAAACTTTTCCCCCTCTGGAATTTTAATGATTGCTATTTTTTTTATAAATATCTATTTTATTTTTCATATAATAAAATAAAAATAAAAATAAAAATAAATTTTAAAAAGTATTCCACATCACAAGATTAAATATTTACATTTATATCTATCTTTTATTTATTACAAAAAGATTACATTTCCGTTTTAGACTTTTATCAATATTTATATCTCTCTTTATGATTTATCAATTCATATATATTTTGATTTATTTTATTAAATGTATACATTATCTCTTTAAATTTTAATTAAAAAAATATTAATAACACTAATTTATACCTATATCTTTTACGTTAAAGATTAATTTACATACAAGACACCACATAGCATGGTAGACAATAAAACTAGCTGGGGGTGTTAAAATAAAATGGTTTATTTATAATATTTGTATTACCTAATCTAACTTAATCTGTCAAAGTGAAATAATTTGGATATTATAAATGTTAATGAGTGAAAAAATATAAAAAATAGATAACATAGGTTAAGTGGTGAGTTAAGATTTTTGAAACCGGTCAATTTAACCTAACTTATATATTATATACCCCTTATATATTTATATTTGATAATTTATAATTCTAATTTTTATTTTTAATATGGTATTTGCAATCGATGCAATAGGTCTGCTTCTAAATATGGACCGATAAAAATTAATACTATAAACTTAATTTATAAATACATTTAATATTTACAATTTTTTTTTTAAGCTCAATCTATTATCTTTACTCCATTCAGTAAACAAGCTGACTTTATAATTTTTTAAATATATATAAGTATAGTCACAGACTTTACCTAAAAAACATAATGTAAAAAATAAAAACAAAACCATCCATTTTGAATTCAATTCAAAAGGGAATCTCCCTCCCTCCCTGCTTGCTTCTTTCTTCCCTTCCCACACCACAGCCTCCAAATCCATAGTCATGGTTAGATCGACCCAACTAAAACCCATGATATGAATCCGTTCCTTTTTTAGCCTCCTGAAAAACCATAAACCAATCCAGATGTCCTCCGCTTCACCTGTTTCTTACTCATTCGACGACAAAGACCTCGACGACGACGCATTGTGGGCCGTAATCGATTCGGCGGAGGCCTCTCACTCTTCCTCCAAGTCTCGCAAATACCCCAAATTTCAATCTCCATCACCACCACCACCACCTCCTCCTCCTCGCAGATCCCATTTTAATAATAACTCCCCCTATTCCGATCCCTATCGTCGCTCTCACAAAATCGCCAGATCCTGCGCGTCCTCCTCCGAGGTCAGCGAAGTTACCAGCAGCCATCTGGCTGTGGTTAGGACTCCGATTCTCAAAACTTCGTCTTATTACTCTCCTGAGTCATATTTGTCACCGCACATCGCATCCGAAGTTTCTCCCGTGGCCTTGGAGATGGAGGAGAAGGATGCTATGACGAGGCATTGCCTGGATGGAAGGTTTCCAACCGTTTCTCTTTTTAAAGATTATCAGAACGCGGCTATGGCGGTAATTGTTTTCTTTTTCTTTTGCATTCAATGTGTTTGTGTTTTTGCTTCATAATTGATATCAAATTTCTTAGGTATACAGATTTTGGAGAAATCTGATTTCACCATGATTTCTGGGAATCCGTTCATCAAGAAGTCAGGTAAAGGATTCAATCTTCTGCTCTGTCTCTATACTTTATGATAGAATGAAAGATTAACACTGGGTCAAACAATATGTTGTGTAGGTTGGAGGAAGATATCATTGTACTTCAATCTCTCTTATGAAATCAAAGACAGGACCATTGAATTTGACGACAACCGAAATGTTCAGCGTGCAGAATTTGTGGTTCGGGCTTATATGCAGTATGTTTCTGTGCTTCCTTGAACAATCGCATATAAATTGAGAGTATAGCCATAACCTTCTTCTTGTGGTTTTTATTTCTCTCATTACTAGGGGTGGTAGGTTCTCTGATGGATGGGGTTCATGTGATCGGCGTGAGAAGAGATTCTTAAAACCAAATCATGATATTCCAAGTACAGCGGAAACCAGAGCAAAAAATAAAGCCTGTCAGGTATGGCTCACTCCCTACTGCTTCTTTCATGAAGTACTTGCTCCCCTTGCTAAATTCTACTTGTGAAATGTAGTTAATAAGCTTTGATGAAGTTAATCTTTTCCCAAATTCCAAAATCAAGTGCTGAATCAAGCTTGGATAAAAGCTTGAACCAGCTCTGCTCATTTACAGCCCTATCACATAGGTTTGCATGATGTCTTTAATTTTTATTCTCCTTTTATTTGATTTTGGGAGTTTGGTTAAATATTAAATTATTAACAAGAAACCAGTAGGCTACAGAAAGTCTTAAACTTGTCGAGGTCAAATTTCATTTAGCTGAACTCATAATCAGAGCACAGAAGTTTTGTGAGCATCATGAACTTCCAAGTAAAGAGTGGAAAACCTTTTCCATGCTAAAACCATATTAACTTTTAGCCCAAATGAAGAACGGTTCAGTAAATTTTTAAGCAACGGTTTCAAGTTTGTCGAAAATTAATTTCATGCATCATAAACTTTCCAGTTTCTAACCTTGAGTTCTGAATCCATCTAAGTAGATATAACATTGTTTCATGTTCTCTGTTATAATTCTTTTCCCACTCCCAATTTGCTGTTCTGTCCAGTAAAAACATGATTTTGTAAACTAGCAAAAACCTGCATGCAACCATGAATTTGTCATTGTTATGTAATTTACTGTCAATGACCCTAACATGTCTTACTTTCTTTACCCATTTAAGTTTCACAGCATCCATATTCAACAGCGATGATTTTTTTGGAGTGTTATAAGAACTTATAGACCTACTTTTCAACAGGGATGATTGAGCATGAAATAAAATAACATTACAGAAACTCACAAGAATGGAAAACTGTTTCATTGTTTGGCAATAACCAGCCGACATCCATGTCCTTTGCTGTTTCTTAACTATGAGAAAAGAAGAAAAACACATTACAACAAAAGTTCACTCCGATTTAGTCCCAAACCGAAGCTCTTATCCCTTGTAAATCCTCTCGCACCCATGAAGAAAAATCACGCTCACTGTCTCTTAAAGGATACCATTTATATTACTTTGAGAAAGGGGAATAACAGTAGAAACAATGAGAAAGAAGACGTGCCTTTCAATGATGCGATGAATACAGCACAAGTCAACAGCCCTTGCACTTGTTCATTTGGATCCATGTTCGTGTTTTTCAAAGCCGGTCTATATGAATTCGATTTTTCATGCATAGTTTCCTTAAGGAATGGCCACATATAACATCCAAACATTGCCAGTAAATTGTTTGTTTCTATAACATGTATTGCCTATCTTTTATTTTGAAAGTGCAAACATATGTTTACAAATTTGCAGGACCTTCTTGGAATCGGAGAATATCGTCCTAGTGCGAACCAGTTTCACCAGAAAGTATAGTCCCCTTGGTATAATCATAGAATTGGCCAACAATTGTAAACCTTGTCAGGCTTTGAACAGATTTAGGGAGCCGGAGAATCAAGAGGAATTTCACGCGTAAAATTGCTTCAATGGGCCAAGGAGCCCTTGTAATATTTGAAGTCATTTCACATGATCTTTTTTCAAGGATTGAGAAGTTTATGGTTTAGTTATATATACCCTGCTCCCTTGCATCACTCTAAATTTCTCTGTGACATGTAGAGCGAACAATCCTATTGCTCCTCTAAACATAGTTGTAACGGTGGATTTAGGAAATTTTATGCTTGAGCAGCAGCCTTTTTCTGCAACAATTTATTATTCATCATCGAGGAGTGGACATAACTAGATGCTGGTGGAGCTTGCACTGAGTTACAACAGGATCATCGAGTATGGGGACCAGAAAAAGGAAAAGGTGTTTCCTAAAAAGGATGGAAATGTAACGTTACTTTTTCTATTTTCTAGTCCTTTAAAATGGCATCTCCCTCCTATGCATTGGAATATTAGGTAATGTGTTAGGACCAAGGAGAACGTGCCTTTTGTAAGAAATGGCTTCCTTGGACCATCACGAATCGGAAAAAAATATATATCCTCAGCGAACAAAAGTTGCACACTTGATGGTGAACTGGCACAACATTACCGAGGCAATAAAATAATACGGTAAAAAGGAAAAAGAAAAATGCCGAAGGATAGTTTGGTCACACAGTGCTTGCCAAGTGGTGCCAAGGAGCAAGGAGAGGTACGAGTAGTTTGGCAGCCCCCTCTGCCGCTCCCCTTGCTTGTACCCTTTCCCCTCGTTATCTTCCGTACAAAATTATTTCAATTCGTCCCTTTTTCCACTATCATTTCTGTCTGCAGTGTCTACTCAATCAGAGATCTGGATGCAGCTAAGAAACGGTAACAAATCACTTTGCCTTGCCCTCCCCTCCCTCCCTCCAATGCTTGCTTGTGTAAGTGTGTATGTTTTTTAATTTTCATTAAACGAGGTGGGCGATGCTTTAGTTAGAGTTATGCAGGCAGCATGTGGGAGAGGCACATTTCATTTCTTTGGTTTTTCATTAAAGAATTCTTAGCTACACATGACATGACCTGACATATTTCTTTCGATTTATTTAAGGAAAAACAGAGTAAGTGTAGTAGTATCTAGCACGTCAATCGGCAGAGTCCACTACTCCCAGTTGCAGGCATTAACAACAGCAGAACAAACTCATCATGGTTATGGAGGCTCAACAACAGGTAAACTGAATGCCCTTTTGTGTGCCTGTCTGTCAGCCTGTGCGCGCGATATCCATTTCCAAATCTGTAAACAAACTCCAAACATTTTGCAGGAAGATGGGTGGCCACTCGGCCTAAGACCGCTGAACGCAAGAGTTGGGTTGGTGAGAAATCGAGATTTCAATGGTTCAATTTCTTTTAGCACTCTGCTCACTGCTTCTAACAGCTCCTTCACTGAGTCTTCTTCAGATCTTGATACTGAGGTGAGATCATGTTAACTACCATTCCTGCTATTATTTTCCATGGATAAAGTCCATTCTATTAAATCTCCTAAATGTTGTAACTTTACACACAGCATTACTTTCTTTTACCTGCTTGCGCTGCATTTCTAACTTGCCTTATTTTCTGGGTTCATATCATACTTGATAGTTAAGATACAATAGAAAGAAAAGGTTGAGACCACTTTTTACTCTTTCCACCTCGTCCATTATGATGACGTTTGACTGTTTTTGGCCAATTTCTCCTGTAAAGGGTTAGATTTGAGCACCCACACCCACACCCACACCCACATATTTCCCTGTACATTTATGCTACCTCTTAAACTCATTTTGTGCAATTCAATCATCAATCAAGCGACACTGTATTGAACGCTAGCTAGGGAGGATGATCATTGGTGTCCATTGTTAAGTAATTTGTCATGTACAAAGTAATTTATTTAGTTGCTTGCAATGGGGTCGCAAAGCAAAAGCCTAATAGTAACAATTGATAATAACTGTCACTAGAAAAGTTTTTGAGACATGTTTACCTTACACATTATATTTCTTGTCTTTCCATAACTAATATATTCGTATCTCTCAGTTTAGCTCCAACGTTAATCTAGTTTTATTCTGTAAGGAAAAATGCTGTTGAGTGAAGGTCTTCTTAAATTTTTATATTTGTGTTAGTGCCTTGTGAAAGATAATCAATACGCAGCAGCTGATTTTAGATGCATAACAAGCTATGATATTTAAACTTTCGTGAACAAAATTACAGACAATAACTGACCTAGGAGAATTTTGTTCTTTTCCAGTCCACTGGATCGTTCTTCCATGACAAGAGCTTAACACTAGGGAGTCTCATTGGAGTTTCTAGCATTCTAGAGCTCTCTAGAAGATCAACTAGGGGAAGGACCACTGAAACCTTACGAGAGCAGAAGAATTACAAATCAAAACCATGGATGTTCTCAATATGCTCGAGGCTAAGCCCTGATGTCGTCAACACAAACAACAATGCTCCTTCTCTTGGCCACTTTCTTGAAGTAGAGAGGAGAGCTGCTGCCAACATTCACAGAAGGAATATGATATATGGACCTAGAGATTTCTCCCCAATTCTGCCTAACTCCGGTGTAAATTCTCAATTTTTGGGTGATCAGATTGCCCCGCAATCAAGTGCTTCATTGGGAGTAGATGGAGGGAGAAGATCCAACACAGAATTGTTAAAACATGGTAATGGGGATGGAGCTTCATTAGTAGTGTCATGTTTGTGTGGACAACTCATTGAATGATGACTTCTTGAAAAACATTTTACATGTTCTTATGTCCCTGGGTTCTGAATAATCCAACGGCAAGTGTGGGAAGTGAAACACTACGGTCTTTTTATAACAAAATCCAACCAAACAACTGCTTGATTCATGGTGTTTAGTTCTGATGCTGATTTTAGCACTGCCATTTACATTCAAACCACAGTTTTAATACTGGATGAACAACAACAGAGAGCCGTTATCAATTACCTGTACATTCACATAGGAGTCAACTGAAACAAACTTTGCATCAAAGCTCTCATCCAAAGTTCTGCTCATCAAGGAGTGGAACAAGAAGAGGTTCAATTTTAGCTATTTTGCTTCCCACAGTACTGCCCCCCTTAACGTCTGAACTGGTCTTGTAGAAATTTTGTCTGGAGCAACAGGCATGAGGGCATCACCATACGAATGCCAGTGTCAACTCACTCCATTATAATCCATTTATGGCGCATCCGAGTAAACTCTTGAAGGACCAAAACACTCCTCTGGCTGAGGTGAAATTCTTGCTTGAAGGTTGTCATAATTTGCGTACTCATTGTCTTAAAAACCATGGCATTCACGATCATTTTAGCCGACGCAATATTCAGCAACTCCCAATTTTCACACCCCCAATCATCTCCACGCTCTTTATCCAATTGCAGAAGTCGAGGCTTTCGTCGCCAGAATATGCAACTCAAACTGCCATATTTTCAAAGCCCAACCACAATCTCGGAGAGCAGCAGTGCTATGGTTTCTTGCTTTCTAATACAGATTCTACAGGCTTATCGAAAAACACACATATTTACACATTTTGTTGGGACTAGTGGAGCGCCTCTTCTAAATAGCATCCACTGAAAATAAAACTGAAAATGGTAATAGAGTTCCATGTTTCACTTGATGTGTAAAGGATTATAAGACAAGAATCAAAACGAACAACAACCAATTCAGATGAAATGCATGCACATATAACATTAACATAATCTCATCTATGGCAATTTTGAATTAAAAAGAAGGCAAAACGCCAAAAAGAAACCTAAGAACTTCCACATCTTGAAAAGTTACTGCAGTTGTGATCATTAAATGAAGCGTGTCCAATTAACGAGAGGAGATGGTTAGAAAAGTTCTATAACGGTATAGCAAAAAAGCTATCATTACATTGTTATTATACAAGAACCAGGACTACAGCTTGATTCAAATAATAGCTGTTGAAAAAAAAAATCACATCAACAATATGTTCAATGAGAATCTTAGAACAATGATGATTTCTAGGTCTTGTCGAAAAGTTACACGGAATGGCTTCTAGGTATTACTGTTTCACCATGAAAGAACTTTTACAACTGCACCCGCCCACTGCACTTGGATTAGTGGCCACCTACATATGAAAACGGAATTTAGTTCCTGCTACACAAGAGTATTAAAGATGAATTGGAATGAAAAATCCAGCATGAGGATCCAAGTTAGGCACCACGAGTCATCTCCTGTAGTTTAGCTATTACTTGTGTATAATCAAACACACACACACATTCTGACAAAGCCAGTCAAAGATATGGACCTCGTATTAGGTAAATTATAATTCACAGATCATCTTATAATCTGTACAAACTGGCTCTATTTTGCTCAAGCTCATCTCCTCAGTAAATTATATATCTTTGAAGGGAAGGAATTGCACTCGATGCAGCTATGCTAGAAGGCCAGAACAGTTTAATTCATATAATTTTTTAAATGACACATAATCAGCTAAATCTAGAAACACAAGTACATTATTCATGCAATTCACATATCACTCAATAGGTGACACAGACTCCAATTTGTCTGCCAGACCACACTCTTGACAAAGCTAAACCATATCACATGGTGTGCCTCGCTACTTGCGCAAAACAAAATAATGAGCCACATCAACTTGAGCACTTAATAGTATCATCTGAAATTTGGAGCTCGACCACATCACACAACCAACCATGTTATTGCTCCAATTTGATAACATCCCTCCTTTAGATCCTTATTCTTTTATTATCAATCATGTTAACTAACAAATCCAAGTGACTGTACAGATGCAGGAACAAATCTCCCTTACAGCACAGCCACTATGGATGCATTGCTTGGCTGTCATTTGGCAAGCATTACCTACCTTAGGCCTAGAAAAGGATGCAGACAGTTAAATTAAGTTTAAGGAACACCCTAACAGAAAGATTGCATGAATAATGTTATCATTATATAAGGTCGTGTAGTATTTAAATTGTTTATATGAAGCTCATAAGTATCTTCCACACTAAGTTTTTCAGCAAACAGATGTCCTTGGAGCTTTTGTATCAATGGTAGAAGACAATTATCAATTTTTCAGTGTGCGTGGTGATCTCAACACCCTCCCCCCCAACTTGTCTACGACCTTGATGAAAAAAGGGAGAGTATAATCTAGCCCAAATCAAATAGAAAAGGCATGAAAAGGTATTTCATAGCTTGCTGAATGACATCTTAAAAATTTACCGATCCATTTTCCATCAAGATCAAAAGCCCCTGGTTTCTTAACTTCGATACAATTTACAAATACACACCCCCACATATATAAAAATTTATCAGCAACATACAAGATGAATTACTTACTATAAAAGCAGCACGGATTAGCTCCTCAACATAGTCAACAGTGGCCCCTTTCAGAAAATCATATGAAATGTTATCAACCACCAATCTGACTCCTTCTGTCTCAAAAACTCTGCAACAATACAGTTAAATGATAAACACATAAGAAAACTAAAAATAGTGAATGCATTAGTCATTTGATGGTTCTTCAAATTAGAAAGCAACAGTAGTTGCAAAATTAATTAAAATAAAAAATAGAATGATATCAAAACCTGTCATCTGGATTGGTTTTATCATCCAAGTCAAAAACATACTGGAAACCAGAACATCCACCAGTTTCCACACCCAAACGAAGCATTTTGTCTTTAGCCGATCCTTCACTGGTTTGCAGTTCTTTCAGTCTCTGTAAACCAGACCTTAGTTTTATGGAAAAGCTAGAATAAATTGCAAAAGAAACAGGCTGATATGTGTTTGCATAAAATAAGTTATATGTGTGACATAAATAAAAACAGCTTTGTTGAAGAGATTTAAAAATCCAACTGATACCAAACAAGGACATGGGCATGGCAGTTCTATATATTTTTTAGAAGGCTGAATAAGATTAAAAAACCAAGCTGTAGGACACACCACTAGGATTGATCAAAGATACACAAGAGGTTCGGGGAGGAAAAAAATTGATACAGCACAGAACTAGAATTAGGAAAACTAAAAGGAGGCCCAAAGAGGTCAGCATGGAATTAATCACATTAGTAATATCACCTTGCTCTGAATTACAGCATACAAAAGAAAAAAAAAGGGAAATGACAGCAGCAAAAACATTCAATAAAACAGCAAGAAAAGGAGTAAACCTCTGCAGGCAGATACAGATCCAACAAAGCATTGATATAGGAAAGAAGATGCCATAATATTGAGAAATGCAGGAGCAGCAGAATAAGCTAAGAAGCAGAACCTAGCACCAAAGACTAACAATAAAGTGGCAGCGCAATCATGAGGATGAACACTTAGATTCACTCTAGATCAAGCATGATACAGCGACCCCAAAAAAAGGAGGGGGGGCGGGGGCAACCCAGACAAAATTCTTGTATAATAGACTTTCAATGGGATTATATTATGTGAAAATAGCATATGACGTTCCAAAAATTTCAATCTTTTGCTAGCCGCCAATTCTTGGGTGTCTGTCATATGGGCATACTAATCTATATCTATCTAACTCTTAAAAAAAATAAAAAATTGAAGCAAAGCCCATTAACAATTAACAAGCCAAAAAGAAAAACAAACATATAAATCCACAAAAACACAATCAGATGAGCGGAGTACCCGGATGCAATTGTCGGTCAAGTGAATGGAATCATCAACAAGAGAAGAAGCTTCGTGAAGAGCAGAAGAGCTAAGAAGCCTGTGGTTCTGTCGAATCCAAGAAGTGAACAAGGGTGTTACCCGTTTAATCAACGATGATGATTTGGAAGACATCATGCCCTTTTTTTTTCTTTAATTAATTTAATTAATGTTTTGTTTTTTGGAGTGGGGTTGGATTTTAATCGAATTGGGAATATTGATGAACCGATTGTTCAGTTTCTGGTTATTATTTGGAAGAGGACAGGGGACGATGGAATTTGGCTTTAATCAGGAGATCATGAAGGTGGAGGCCTGCGTGTGTGGCTATTGCGTTGAGAGTGATTTTTTAAAGTGTTTATATTTTTAAATATATTAAAATAATTTTTTAATATTAGTAGCATGAAACAACCCTCAAAATCGGCATTTAAATATATTTAAATAATTTGTTAATATTAGTAGAATGGAACAACCTCAAAATCGGCATTATAGTAGCATGAATTAAGCAAGTAAACCATAATAAAAAAGGATTTTCTCAAATTTTATAGTGGTTTGCATATTTAGTCCACTCAACTCAATCCAATTAAACTAAATTATATTAATTATTAATTGCATACAAAGTTCAATTCTAAAAAAAAAAAATTAGAAATAGCAAACTAGTTTCTTTTAAAAAATGCATAAAAAAGTTTTTTTTACTAAAAAATTTTCAGAAAATACCCATTCATTAAATTTTTTTAAGAATGCTCAAGGATTTCTTATTTTAAGAAAATATTAACCTTGTTGTTTTAATATATATATATAAGAATCAATCCATGGGCAATAAGATATTTAAAAGGATTCTTCCCTCTAGTTTTTGAGACTTTCTAGTTTTTCTTTTATTTACAGAAATAATAAAAATTTTCCCCTAGTCTTTTTACAAAGAACCAACTCGTAGGCAGTAAGATCCTTAAAAAGAGTTTCGTCCTCTAGAAGTTGTGTCTTTGTTGTTCTTTGTTTTAAAATAGAGTGGTAAGTTGTGTCTTGTTTTTTTTTTTTTTTTTTAATGTTTGAATATTTGGATCATTTGATATATTTTTTCCTAATTTCATATCACTTTGAATGGACTTAGATTGGGTCAACGTAGCCCTGCAAAATTCTTTTGAGTGCGAGTGGCGGCCTTAGAAACCATTTGAATATAACCAAAGAAACAGGCCGAAACTTAATTTATTATCCACCATACTTTTTAGCCCAACATTCAT